ACATCAGCAGAGGGTGCGGCTGCCTCCTGGCCTTGCAGGCATCTGGGACCTCTTCCCCACACACTGGGATCCATCCCTGTGTGTCTGTCCTCTCGGTGCTCTCCCCTTGCACTCAGTGAAGGGCTTGTCCCAGAGGACAGGGCTGGGGCTGTCAAAGTCCTGCTCTGGATCCCTGGAGACGGAGGCCCGGAGGCTTATGGCCATGTGGCATGGTGACACAGGTTATCCTGTCTGGGGATCACCTTTCCCATCTGCAAAGTGGGCATCACGCAGGCTGGACCCCAGCCTCTGACTCAGGGACAGTGGTCACATCGCCGTCTGCTGCAGCCCAGTGCTACAGGGAGCCACGCTCCACACTCGGGACCACCACGGGAGCAGTTCTGTCACCACCGCCCTCACCCCAGCCTGACCCCCTCATCCACTTCTCACCACAGAGCCCGTGGAGGAGGACGAGGAGACCCCACAGCTTATGCGGACCAAGAGCGATGCAGCCTGTGTGATCCAGAGGCGGCCCAGGTGCCGCGCCCCCGGTGAGGCCCAGAGGATCCGGCGACATCGGTTCTCTATCAACGGGCACTTTTACAACCACAAGGTGAGGTCCCAGCCTGGCCTCTCCCCTGGGCCCTGAAGCTGAGGCCACAGGGAACAGCCCCAAGCACGGGTGTAACCACTGGGCCTTCTGTAGGCTGGGCCCCGTGGCGGTCATGCCAGAATTCACCCTCACCATGGCCCTGTGTGCAGATGTGGCCATGCCCCTGCCCCGATGGAGAAACGGGCTCAGGAGGAGAACTGTCTCGCCCAAAGTCACATCAAAATATCATTCCACTTCATGGCCCCAAAGCCTGTATTTTTTCCATCACACACTCACTGTCAGTTCATTCTCAAAAGTTGCATGGAGGGCTTCCCTGGTGGCGCAGTGGTTGAGAGTCCGCCTGCCGATGCAGGGGACGCGGGTTCGTGCCCCGGTCTGGGAAGATCCCACATGCCGCGAAGCGGCTGGGCCCGTGAGCCATGGCCGCTGAGCCTGCGCGTCCGGAGCCTGTGCTCCGCAACAGGAGAGGCCACAACAGTGAGAGGCCCACGTACCGCAAAAAAAAAAAAAAAGTTGCATGGATATTTGGAAAGTGATACCAAATTCACTTTTAATCAGGCGATTTTCTATGAGGTTTCCACCCAAGCTCAGTTGATATGGGAACGTCCTGTCCCCTACTGTCATTTCCACTTGGTAGATGAAGGCAACTAGGTTGAGGTGTGCCCAGGAGCACGTGTGTCTGTGTCCCAGAGAACCCACACTTCTCCTTATTCCCAGCAATTAGCCTTTTGTCCAAGTATTGTACTGACCTCAGGAAAAAGAGCTCCTTCCCCAGATGACATCATTCCGTAAACAAACCAAACTGTAAAAGGAGAAGTTGATTACTATAAATGGCACGAGTGGCCGTGTGGGTGAGGCCCTAGATGGGAGTGTTCTGGTAACAGAGCCACATCCTGCAGCACTGGGAAACTGGAAGCCAAGGTTTTTAGGTTAAGCAGCTGCCTTCTTGATAGGTGATGACTCGTGGGAGGGGAAGGGGAGCCTGGGCAAAGGGAGGTCTCAGGGTCAGATCTGAAGGACAGTCCCCCAGGTGAGGTCTGCTGGGAGCCATTCAAGCCACTCTTGGGGTGCCCTGCACTTCGGGATGAAGAATTCAGCAAGGCAGCTGAAAGGACCCTGCTTCACCATCAGGACCTCCCTCCACTCCCTGCTAGGTTTGCAGTGAGTGTTCATGAGGGACAATAGGTTATCTTTACTAAATCCAGGAAAACCCAGGACTATTTGAGAGTAGTTTCCTGAGAGAGGGAGGGGGAGGCAGGGCTGAAGTTAAACAGAGATTAAGAATGTCTAGATTAGCCAAAGAACCCACTGTCTGACTTGGGTATTCTTTAAATCTTGCTCCAAAGGGGTTTTGTCCTTAAAGTGTTAAGTACCACGTGCTAGTATTTGAATATATATTGATATGCTATTTTAAGGGATTACTCAAAAATTTAGAAAGACTATTTGCACGGGTTTAGGCTCTTTCTAGTTCTACATTCCTAAAAAGGAGCTTTTTGCTCCATGACTCAAGGTACCAAATAGCGGAATTTGTCTTCAGTACATTCACCTCTACTCTAAAGGAGTCATCTCTAAGAGGGGTGTTGGGCACATTAAATCTTACGTTAGTCATTCGAAATGTCACAGGGACATGGAGATGTCTGAGCACCCTGTAGCCTTTGAAATGAACAAATGAACAGTGAGGGCTTTCATCACAGCCTTTCATGTCCATTGGAGCCATCCTGCCAAGAAGGGCTTCTTAGCCAGCCAGGCCAACACTCGATACACTACCCATTCAGGCCCCAGTAAGGGCAGATATTCCCCCAGTCACAGATTTACCTGCGCCGAAATGTAGACCCATTCTTCCAGGCAAATTGAGTACCTGCCAGGACAGGAACTAGTGTCTTAGGCATGTTGGACAGTTGATTCACATCTCCTGGATGAGTAAGGGGCTCCCTCTTTTTCTCCCTGCGCTACATGCATTCAGAATCAGTGTCCCTAGAAATCAGGCAACAAAGTACTTGAGCCACAGGCAACAATTAAAAAAAAAAATTCCTAGAATTAACTTCCTGGGGTTGTTATTCCAGGTTTTATTTCTTAGAACTGTACCCTATTGCTTCACTCAATTATTTTCCAAAAGTGTTCTTATTCACAGCAATGTTGGCTTGATTTCCAGACTGGGTCAAACTTAGTACTTGTTTTCACTGCTTTGCCCTGGCCTGTTAGATTCAAATGTGTTCTGTGAGGGGAAAACCACTGTGGTTAGAGATGGGAAAACAGCCACGGTACCCTTGTTCCTACATGGAGTTGGTTGGTATCTTCTTGAGAAAAAACTTCAGGCAGAAGAAACACTAACAATGTCTTATTGACATGACCTTTCTTCTCCTAGAAATAGCCTGACTTCTGTATTCCATATTTCTTAGAAACTGAAAATCTAGGCTGGCTTTCTGTATCACCCAGAGGCATTCTACATTTCACTGTGCAGAAGGCAGGTCCAAGTTTGAGTCTGGCTCTGGTACTCGGGGACCAGCTGCAGACGCTGAACAAGTCCCTTGCACACCCCGAGCCCCTACTGGGAAAAGCAGAGCTAGGGCCATACGGGAGGAATGTGTGAATTGGAATTTGGAAAGCGAGGAGGAGCTTACCCACACGGAAGTCAGACACGCAGGGAGGCCCCTGTGCCACAGTGGTGAAGCATGGGGTTTGGGGCAGCTCTGCCCTTTCTAGATGGGTGATGCTGACAAGCCCCTTAACCTGTCCAAGCTTCCATGTCTTTCCTAAGAAAAGGGGACTAGTGACAGGTACTTCTAAGGGCTGTTGTGAGAATTAAATCAAAGATTATATATAAAGTGTTTAGCAGGTTTCCTACCTAGCTAGTGATCATTGAGGACTCAATAAGCCTCAGACAATGCCCTGGTTGACTTTCACGGATGGTGTCTCATAAACAAAGGCAAGATACCTGTGAGAATGTCACGGGCCCCCATAACTGTGCAGAAGCCATGTGGCTAGAGCACAGGGTACTTGGGAGGGAACCATGTATCACATGTGCATAACATGAGAGGAGCCACGGATGGCACTGTCTAGGCTGTGGGACATGCTGTAAGACAGTACTTCTCAAAGTGTACCCTACAGATAGCATCACGGGGCAGTTTCCTCAAATGCAGATTTTTTTTTTTTGCGGTACGCGGGCCTCTCACTGGTGTGGCCTCTCTCGTTGCTGAGCGCAGGCTCCGGACTCGCAGGCTCAGCGGCCATGGCTAACGGGCCCAGCCACTCCACGGCATGTGGGATCTTCCCGGACCGGGGCACGAACCCGTGTCCCCTGCATCGGCAGGCGGACTCTCAACCACTGCGCCACCAGGGAAGCCCTCGAATGCAGATTTTGATCCAGGAGTCTGGACTCGGGGGGCCTGAGACTGTAGCTGACAGCTGGTCCAGAACACACTTTGAGTTGCAGAATTTTGAAAGGTTGTTCCTCTGGCCAACAGTGTGGGTAATGGATTGAAAGGGCGGAGACTGGAAGGGGAGAGTTGAGAAGCTGATGCAGTGTAAGCGGAGGGCCTCACCTCAGGCACCACTGGGAGCATGGAGAGGAGTGGACAGATTGGAGAATGTTCAGCCTTCGGATCAGCAGACACTTGGTGATTTGATGGATAGAAAGAGTGAAGGAGAGACTGGTTCCCCCAACCCCTTGTGAGTTACTTCTACGGCCCTGGTTCCTGGAATCCAGAGAGCTGGACCTTATAGCTTTGTAGGCATCTTCCTTAGAGGCCTCTGTAAGATGTGAGTTGTTACAGCTTCCCTCTGCGTGCCCAGATCTGGGCATAGCTTGTGTGTGGATCTTTGTGGATGGATAGACGCAGGTGTTCCTGAAGCTCAGGTTCGCCTACTGCTCCAGCCTGCTCAGCACCATCTGGCCGACAGTATGCCCAGACCCTGTGTGATGTCAGCCCCGTGTCCCCTCTGGACTTGCCCTGAACTGCCTCCCCGTTCCTGTACAGACCTCCGTGTTTACTCCTGCCTATGGGTCCATGACCAACGTGAGAGTCAACAGCACCATGACCACCCTGCAGGTCCTCACCCTGCTGCTGAACAAGTTCCGAGTAAGTCTGGCCACAGACGGCCCTGCCCCAGTTGCTGGTGGTTTGCTGTTCTGTTGGGGGAGGGGGCTGGAGAAAGCCATGGCTCCTGGCTAGAAGGATGACCAAGGTTTCCTCAGCTGAGCTGGCATCTCTGGGAATTTAAGCAGAGAGAGGGGAGGGTCCCTGGGGATTTGTGTGTGTGGCACTGAGGATGTGGTTACTACCAGGGGTCCCTTTCTGTCTCTCCTGTCTGGAAAAGCCGTGGTCTGACTTCCTATTACTTCCTGTGCAGGTGGAAAATGGTCCCAGTGAGTTTGCACTCTACATCGTTCACGAGTCTGGGGGTAAGTGTCTGCCTTTGCTTCCTGATCATAAAAACAAAAGTCCCTGTCCATTTGGCAAGCTCACCAGCTGTGCTCCTTCTCTGGGGGCTGGGCTGGCTTGTGCAGCGGGCACGGGGCAGGTGCCCTCCTGGCCTCGGGACATGCTATGCCCCCACCACGAGCATCCCTCCCAGGCCCAAATCCAGGCACATTGTCATCCCTTTGAGAATCCCACCAAAACCACATGGTAAGCCACTCTCTCCAGTAGGTTCAGCAGGGAGTGGGGAGGAATGTGCATCTGGGTCTTCAAGGTGGAACAGAAGCCCCTCGCCCACTGAGAACTGCTGTTGCAGAACTTGTACTGCATGGCCCTGTGTCCAGTGCTGCACAGCACAGGTCTGATAACTGAGCAGGCCTGGCCTCCCCAAGTCCACTTCCCCATTCCCCGCTCCTTCAGCCACTGTTCCTCTCGGAGCTGGGCCTTCACTGAAGGACATGATCACACATCATCAGGGCAGTGTCCACCACACAACACCTGGCAGTGTTGCCAGGCCCCCTGGACACCTGTCTTCCCTTACGTTCCTGTCCTGGAACAAAGAGACGCAGAGATGCCATGAATTTTGTCCACCGCTTTCTTTTTCAGAGAGGACAAAATTAAAAGACTCTGAGTACCCGCTGATTTCCAGAATCCTGCACGGGCCCTGTGAGAAGATCGCCAGGATATTCCTGATGGAAGCTGACTTGGGCGAGGAAGTCCCCCACGAAGTGAGTGAGAGCTGAGGCTCGGGGAGGCCTGCTCCTGAGTTCGGGGCTGGGGGACAGCATGGCGGACCCCCAAGGGCTCTTAAGGTGACCTTGGGCACAGCCCTCTTGGGCGATGCTTCCAGGGCCCCCATGGCCATTCTGAAGGACCAGTACAGTATTGGTTTCAGCCCTTCTTCTTCCTGTCAGCCACCACCAGATGTATCAGCTGGCTCAGGGGAGATAAGAAGTTGGGTCTTAGAAAACCATGGCCTGGCCTTTCCGCCTCAGACAGATAGAATCTTTTCCTTCGTTGGAGCATGGTTTGTTGTCATTGCATTAAAGACCCACAACAAGGGCTCCTTAACTAGGGCCTAACTAGGGCTTATGGAAGGGACCCTATGGAGGTCTGTGTCTCAGGACAGCCTGAGTCCTGGCTGGGCAATGGGCACATTTCCAAACTCCCTGCACAGAAAAGGCCTATAGGGTGTGGACCCCAAGGAGAAGCCCCAGTGACCCTGTATCCCTTGAGCCATTCAGACTAGTGTAGTTTCATTCCATTGTTAAAAACAATGGCATTCCCACCGTCTCCACCCCACCCCCAGAGAACACCCAGTGTGACTCCACTCACTATTGAATGCTTTTCCTAAAATTCAGCTTAATCTTTCCTCCCAGCAATCGTAGTTGCCTTTGAGGTAAGAATGGGCTCCATCCTCCCATCCTGGTACACACAGAGCAGTGCTGGGCGTGGGAGGAAAGCAGGACAGCCTCTTCCTTGGATTTAAGACTGCTGAATCGGCCGCTATGGAAGCCACGAGGAAAAGAAAACACACTTTTGGCTTCTAATTTAAAACACATTAAAATGTTCTTGGATTTTCTAGGTCGCTCAGTACATTAAGTTTGAAATGCCGGTGCTGGACAGTTTTGTTGAAAAATTAAAAGAAGAGGAGGAAAGAGAAATAATCAAACTGACCATGAAGTAAGCAGCACTTAAAGAGCCAGTCGTGGGTACTGAACGTCAGGGCAAGTCTGCAGGGCAGAGCACCCAGGCCCGCGGCTGGGAGACCTCTCTCCTCCAGGTGTGCCAGGTGTCCTCACGCAGCTCGGGGACACCTGCTAACCCTGGCTCCCCAGCACCGCCCTCTGACCCCTTGCTCAACACTGACACCAAGCTGGGGTGACAGCCTGCCAGAATAGGGGGATGCAGCCCAGACCACTCATCTAGCCTCGGCAATCTCGCCAGCACAGGACAGGCACAAGCTGCTGAAAGATGCCCAGGAGAGTCAGGCAGGAGCACGGGTGGGCCCTGGACCAGGGTTGTGTTCTGCTGGTGACATTGCTCCGGAGGAGCAACCGAGAGGGGGCCTGCTTGTGCACCTTCTGCCTCGCCTGGGCCTTTCACGCTAGCCGGAATTCTAGGCCTGTCCCAAAGCAGCAGTTATTGGAACTGCCTGCACCAGCTGATGTTTGCAGGTGCAGGGGACCAGTTCAATGGAAAGGTGAGCAGGTGTTACCTGCTGGCTCCTGGGGAAGCTACCTCAGGGCCCGGCTGTGTGAGGTCATCCAGGTTGCACATCCCAATGATCTGTCTCTCCCTCTGCAGGGGAAGCTCGGTCCCAGAGTCCCTCTTAGGCAGGGAAGGAGAGAGGCTGCTGTGAGGGCCCGCGGTCAGGGGACTGGTTCCGATTCTGGCATCTGGCTGAATGATTCTTAGAAAGGCTTCTATGTGTGCAGTCAGGCCCCATTCAGGCAGTCAGCAGAGACCTCGATCAGAGGATACAGTCTACATGCAGTCAGCAGTGTCACCGTGGCTAGAAAGGACTTGAGGGTCACCTGGTCAGCCTGTTCAATGTACAGAGAGGAAACAGCGGCCTGCGATAAGGAGGCAGCACCACGTGACTGCAGAGCCAGGGCTTGAACGCAGGCTTCCTGATCCCTACTTTGCCACCCTGTGTACTCCAGCACACTCCTGTCTGTACTGGAGAATCTTTTTTTTTTAACATCTTTATTGGAGTATAATTGCTTTACAATGGTGTGTTAGTTTCTGCTTTATAACAAAGTGAATCAGCTATGCATATACATATGTCCCCATATCTCGTACTGGAGAATCTTTGGAATAGAAAGATCACTCTGCTTCGAAGCTTGGCAGGCTCTGCAGCCCTGTTTGACTGCTCCTCAAAGCCAGTGGTCTTGTGGGATGTGGGCCTGGCTTTTCCCTCTCCTGGCAGAGGAGAGATAGTGGCCACTAATCAGCTGGTCAGGAGCCGTGGGTCTCCGGGCCCAGCATCTATGTGCTCCCTTGCTCGCCCCCTCCCTGTCCCCTCTAGTAGCAGTGAGTCCTCTTGGCTGTGTCTCCCTCCAGGTTCCAAGCCCTGCGTCTGACGATGCTGCAGCGCCTGGAGCAGCTGGTGGAGGCCAAGTAGCCCACCAGCACCTGCCTCTTCCGAAGCCCCCAGCAGCCAGCGCACTCTGAGCGCTGGTGGCCGGGCCCTGATTGTCACACACATTGGTCACACTGGCTGAGGAATCCAGCACCCGTTTTTCTACCTGTCCACCTGCCTAGGTAGCGTGAGTCCCATGTCCCTGGCTCTTGGCTCCGAGGTGAGCACTCACAGTGCCCAGACCTAAGCCTGAGGAGCCAGGAACTTGCTGGGTGGGGTCTGCGTGTGAGACTGGCCTGGGCCGTGAGCAGCCCTGAAGCTGTGACATGGGCCACTTATGTAGCTGCACAGCATGGCCAGTTCTGTTCACTCCACACGCCTCCTGCTCAGGAGAGCAGGACATGACCTTGTTTCTAGGGCGTGGGCTCCATCTGCTCTCCCAGTGCCCAGCCCAGAACCACAAGCCCTTATCCTCATCAAACACATGAGCCACTCGACCCCCGTCTGCCCTCGTCTCATGCTGCCACTCAGAAACTCCGCTGGGTAAAGCAAGGGCTGCCAGCGGGTATGGGGTGTGCGATGCTCCCAGCCATCACTTCACCATGGCGTCCCTGGCCCTCGAGCCTCTGATGTCACTCCATGAGCCTCACATAGCCCCGTGCCCCGGCAGCAGAGGTCAGACTGGGAGTAAGACCACCAGCAGCCCATCTTCTCTCTGCAACACTCACTCTGAGCTTCCTCAGCAAGACCTGAAGGGATTCTTACAAGGAGCTCGCTGCCAGAAACATGTCAATTTGATCACATTGAGGAGGTGACCCGCGTGGCATTGGAAAGGATGCTGCCAGGGTGCATGCGGGTCCAGGAGCTGTCCAGGGACCGCCGGCAGTGGCTCGGGAAGGCCGCGCTCTGCCCCGTTGCTGCTCTCCTCGGACACCTGTGTGCCTCCTGCCCTCTCTGGGTGTGCGTTCCTCCTCTCTCAGTACTTCCCATCAAAGGGCCACCAAGGGAAAAATGTCTGTTTGAGGAGAAAGGGCTTTGAATTCCCTGGGGCCAGATGCAGAACGATCTGGGTTTGTCAGCTGATGGAAAACATCTGGAATGAACAAGAAGGCATTTGCAAAAATTGTGTAACAGTTTACATTGGTCATGTGAGGTGTTTGTCCAAAACAGAGCAAACTGAAGACCAAGTTCTCCCACTGGGGCCCATGGATAGCGGATTTAAAGGGAAAAAGTATAAAGTCTCCCAAATACAGAAATTCAATATGAGGGAGATTCCCTCGGTGCCTTGTGCAGCGCCCATAAAGAACAGAGCCTGGGAGCAGCCGTGCCAATGGAACCCACCGTTCAGGGTGAACTTCGCAACAGGATTGCCCCGACCTGGCACCATCTGCACAGAGGCAGGCGCAGAGACGCCCAGGGGAGGGTCTGCTGTAGTTTCTGCTGTCTCTGCTTGCCTTTGGCAGCATAGTTTCCTGGGTACTCAATAAAGGTGTGAGGTATTGAACTGAAGGAGTTAGGTCCAAGCTTTATTTTTTGCTTGTGTGTGTCCACCCTGACCTTCTGCCCTAACCTCTGACACTCCTGTTCCACAGGCCGCGTGGCCAAGTTTGGCAGAAGAGCCAAAGCTGAGCCACAGCCCGCGGCTCATGACACTGACACGACTCCTTCCTTTCCGTGCACATGCTTGGGGCTGGTGTGGGGCCTGAGGACAGAGGCAGCTGCAGGGCCCAGAGGAGGAGTCATTGGTGGGGGTCTGTGGACAGCCCGGACAACAAGCACAAGGGTCACCCCGAATCGCAGAGTCCCAGCATCAGGAGGACCTCGGGGATCTTGCAGGGCTGGGGGCGGGGCATGGTGACAGGGTCTAGGAGAGGGTAGGGAACGACTCAAACAGGGCTCCCCAGTAAAATAGTGAAATAGCTCCCAGACCATATTTATAAGCTCAGGTCAAGCACAACTGTTGTCCATTGTTCAGCAGTAATTGAGGGACCGCCTTGTGCCAGACCTGTGCTCAGCCCTAGAGGGACAAAGACAGAGCCATGCTGTGCCCTGTGTTCAGGGGTCTCAGACAAGACCTGGGAGAAGCAGGCCACACACCCTGGATGGTCAGGGGACCGGCAGGGCAGAGAGATGGTGAAGGTCCCTGGAAGGAGGCCCAAGGCTGAGCCCGACTTGCCTAAGAGAGTGTGTGTGACATTCTAGCCTGAAAAGGCCTGCCAGCCCTGGAGCAGACAGGGCTTGGCACATGGGAAGCCATCAGATGAAGAAACCCTCTGTAAACATCCCCAGTTTTGCTTTTGGGGTTTTTTGTTTTGTTTTCTTTCAGTTGTTACAATATTACTTCATTTAAGGCCTATCTCGATACGTGTCACTTGTGAAATAGAATTATCAAAACTAACTTCTGAATAACATAGCTAAGAAATCACTAACAAGTTGTACAAAAAGGGGAAAATGTACAGACATACCTCAGAGATGTTGCAGGGTTGGTTCCAGGCCACTGCAAGAAAGCAAATATCACAATAAAGTGAGTCACACAGATTGGTTTCCCAGTGCACATAAAAGTTACATTTATGCCCTACTATAGTCTATTAAGTGTACAATAGCATTATGTCTAAAAAAACAATGTACGTACCTTAATTTTAAAATACTTTATTGCTAAAAAATGCTAACAATCATCTGAGCCAAGTTGTAATCTTTTTGCAATAGAAACATCAAAGATTATTGACCACAGATCACCATAACAAATATAATAATAATGAAGGGCTTGAAAATTGTGATGTCAACTGAAAAAAAAACACAACCTAAAATTTGTGAGTTATGTTGTATTTGGGGACCTTACTGAGAACTATATCCCATGAGACAGCCTGTCAGACAGCTCTGAGGAACTGTTTCAAAGAGGTAGGGGAGGAACCAAGATATGCAGGAGTTTTTGCTTAAAAAAAAAAAAGCCAAACATGTAGTTGAACACCAAAACATGACTGCTGACCACAAAAAGCAGAAGTCTCAAGTTAATGATTTTAGTGCCTTTTGGTGTATGGGAAGATGCAAGAGTCTGGGTTCATTAAAATTATTCCTTAGATACGCATCTTAACTATCTAGGGCCAGTATCCTGTTTCTCTCCATCCTAAGCTGCCCTCAGGGTGCACCCCTTGGAGCAGCTGCAGTGGCTGATGTCTTGATAGCACCAACATTTCTTGTTTACTGAAATGGCTGGCTACATTTATTTTGTCCACAGTGAGAATTACCAAAATGTGACACAGAGACGCAAAGTGAGCAAAGGTTATTGGGAAAATGGCACCAATGGATTTATTCAATGCAGGGTTGCCACAAACCTTCAATTAAAACAAACAAACAAAATGCAATACCTGTGAAGCACTATAAAGCAAAGCACAGTAAAACAAGGTATACCTGTGCACTTCTGCAATCATCTGGGGCGTTACAAAACTTTTTATCAACACTACTTGCTTTTCAGAGGCAATTTGAAAAGCTGCTAATTCAGCTCACCCTGACTTTCTCTGTTTGGCTCTGCGGTTTCCTGATGGTTTGTATGGGAGTTCCATGTGCCTCTCTCCACAGAGCATAGATTATTTGTCATATGTTGCTTAACTCACTGGTATCGCAGGTAGTAAATGTTATCCAAAGATAAAGTGAAGAATTCCTGTGATGAGTGTCCTCTCCTAAAACAGGACGGTCTTCCCAGGTCAGGCCTCCGGAACCAGGGAAAATCATAAACACAGGATAAAATCAACATGATTGCAAAAGAAGATCTGAACTCAGGAAAAACAGGGTGATTTGCCCAGAGCAAATTACCAGAAGGAACCAAAAAAGAGCTTGTTTTTCCCATGGTGATAACCATATGCTACCTGCTTAGAATGTTTACAAGAAAATGGATTAAAGACCTTCCCACTGTTAAAATAATGCTGTTTGTCCACCCAGGATACATCTGGCCCCTTAGTCCTAGGGAAACAAAGCACGAGGCTTATCCTGTCGGATCAGGTGATCTGTGGAGAAGCTGGCAATACACAATGTGCCCATGTGGGCAGGACACAGGTGCCCTGCAGCTGCAAAGCAGCAGTGGGATATTTTTGTCAGATGCCCTGCTGGGCAGCAGCCTCCCTGCCCCTCAGTCCCTCAGCCATGATCGGGCAGGAAAGGCAGTCGGACTCAAGCCTTTCCAAATGTAAAACCAGCAAGTACAAGTGCTGTATTTAGCCCCCATGAGCTGTGATTGTCTGGGAGAAAGCCAGCTGCTGACCCGCCCTTGGACTCCCAGCATTCCGGTGGGGCTCTGCTCCCTCCTGGCTGGGTTTTTAACAGAGATGTTTTCTGCAAACTCAGGAATGGGAATTCCCAGAGTTTCCTTTCCCAGAGAACCCAAAGGAAACAGAAAGCAAAGTCTCAGACTTGGTGGACAGAACCCTTGTTCAGGGGCCCTTCATGGGAGATAGACTGCTCCTTACTGCACTTGGCCCTTGGACCACACATGTGACCGGCTTCTTTTGCATTGTTGCCAAATGCAGACCCAAGGCAGCAGTGCTCCCTGTTGAGACAGTGCTTTTTGGTGTGTGTCTCTGTCTGTCTGCAAGGGAGTGGGGTGCAAGGGACAAAGCCATAGTAAAAGGAAGCTGTCTTGCCAAGACTGTTCTCAGCCCAGAAGCCTCTTCTTCCTAGAATGAGCCTTTCAAATACAACTGGACTCAGGGACACACTGGACCCCACTGCGAGCCGTTTCCCAGAGGAACCCCAGCCACTAAGGGATCTGGCCTCTCTTGACCCAGTTTTCCCAGAAAGATCTTCTATCAGGTTAGGTGAATATCTGGGGGTATGTTAGGTTCGGGATGTCCATCACACGTGCAAATGGCATTGAGTAATTAACTGGATATATAAATCTAGAGTTCAGTAATATTTGCATCCCAAGGTTGGACTGGAGTTACCAGTTAGGGAGTCTTCAGCGACTACAGATGGTATCTGAAGCCATTAGACTGAAGGAGTTCTGCAGGCAAACGAGGGCCCGGAGAGAAGAGAGGAGATGGGGTGACCCAGCACAGGTTAGGTTGGCGGAGGAGGAGGTTGGCTGTAAGAAATGAGAACCAGGAGAGATCATTACTAAAGAGAAAAAAGGGGGTGTGTTGAAAATCACGAGACTTTGGAGCCATTCCAGTCCTTGGCCATCCACTTATACACTGTCTGAACTCGAGCAAACTTCTACTCTAAGCCTTGGTTTCCTTACCCGTAAAATGAGTATGATCGTTCCCATTTTGTAAGGGCTTTTTGGTATAATCAAATAAGTTGACTCATGAAAAATATCGGGAACAGTTTAGGCTCTCCAAAAGTACCTCTATATAATAATTAAACAATATTTGTAAAAGAATGAAGTCTCAGGGTGGGATAGGCTGGTGTTGCGTTTCAAAAGCCGTGACACACAGGCTGCAGCTCGTCGGCCCTGTGGGTGGCTCCTCCATCTCAAAGGTCTTGTGGTCCTGGGGGCCACAGGACGCCTTCCAGGGGTAGGAGAGGAAAACAAAACGACAGGAAGAAACGAAAAGTTGCTTTTTTCCGCTGGGCCCGTGAGCATAGAGGGTCACTCCGCCAAGATCCTAGAGCGACCGCGCGGCGCAGGCGAACGGCTCGGCCTGCACTTCCGGCGGCGCGAAGGGCGCGGGGCGAGCGAGCGAGGGCGGCGGCGGGCTGGCGCGGTGAGTGGGCCGGGGCCTCAGGAGCGCGAGCTGGCTGCAGTGGGGCGGTGCAGACTGGGCAACGGGCTGCCGGGCGCGGCTTCGGTCCTCAACTCCCGGCTGCCGCGAGGGCTCTGCCGTGGCTGGCGCCGGGGGCGGAGGGAGCGGGGCGGGCCCGGCCTGCGAGGAGCGGCAGCCAGAGGCCTCGGGAGAGCGGAGATCTTAACGGAAGCCCGGGCGAGTTGAGGCCAGAGGAGGACAGGCCCGGGATCGTGAGCCGCATTCCTTACGCCCTCCCATCAGTCGCGTGTCAGGATAAAACAGATTGAACCAAGCGCTTGGGTAGCACAGGGCTGTTCGGAGCGACTTACAGATTCATTTAAACTTCTAACACCATGATAATGTAGTGGCCTTATTGTCATCCCCATTTTATGGACGAGAAAGCAGGCACATTCCAGTGAGGCGTATTCGCATGGCCAACAGCTCCTTTCACTCAAGTTTCCCTTAATACCCGCACTTGCTGTGAAATGAGGCTGAGCACCAGTCGGAGCGCTGGACTTGGCGTTGGAAGTTGGGGCTGCAGTCAGTTCTGCCACTAAGAATACAGGCTCTGGGGTCAGGCTACTAGGGGGTGGGAACTTGGCCAAAGTATACCTGCCTTTCCTTAGAAATGGAAGTAAAATGAAGATAATCCCATAAAGCTGCTCTGAGAATTAAATAAGGTAGCCCAGTGACTGGCACCCAGGCTGCCTGTTGGTATGATTTCCTCATCTGTAGTGTTCTAGATGGTTTAGATAGTCTCTGACTGACTTCTGTAGTGTTGAAAAATAAACGTGGGGTGTTTTTCAGTGTATAATTACCATTATAGCTATTTTTGAACACCAACATCATGTACCTGACATACCTCCTTGTAATAGATGTTCTATAAATATTTACTAAAGTTAAGAAATGAGTAGTGCTCTCTCTGTAGTTTTGTGTTGTATGCAGTTTGCTTTTTCTGATACTTACCTTAATTGCAGCAGATATACTTAAATACACGAAGTCTCAGCACTGTCAGGCCTGGAGTCTCAATTATACAATAAGATGATGGAAGGGCAAGAACAATGATGTAATTTTTGTTTTCAGTTATTTGCTTTGTAAGCTTGTGTGCAGAGACCCAGGGTAATTATTCCCATTTTAAAGTCTACTTGCTGACAATAAGATGTGGAAATTAGTTCCAATAATTGTATTACCTTTGCAGTCCTAGGTTTTCCCACATTGTCACCTTTGGACATTTGGACATTTCCCACATTTGGACTTTGTGCTTCTTTGGTTGTGGCCATTATTTTAAGTAACCTTATAAGTAATTAAATGAAATTAATTTATTTGAAATTTTGAATTTTTGTAGCATGTGGGTATTTTTAAAATTCCATCCTATTTTTACATGTACTTACTTTCTTCTCCTCCTCTTCTTGTGTTTTACCTACCACCTTTTATTCTGTTTCATTACACTATCAAGTAAAAGTTCTTTTGAAATTTTTCTTTCTCAAAAAAAATTCCTTGTTTCAAGTTTTCAAAGAATTGCCCTCTTTCTTGGATCATTGGAATCTAGAGGAAATAATTATGAAATATCTCTTCATTGACATTTTCCTCATACAGTATTTATTGAATAGATTCACAGAAATTTTCCACTCCTTATAGAGTAGTTCTTACATTCAAAACAACTTATGCTACAAAGTTAGAACTCAGTTGTTCTCTAAAGCTGTGCGAGTAGAACGGCTAAACAAACAAGGATAAACAGAAATAGTTAACAAAGTAGTATGATTTGTCATTTCTTTCTGATTTGGACACCATAATGAGTCACCCATGAGTGTAAGTTTAACATGGGAGTAAATATTAAAATATAATGATAATCTATTACCCAAATTTTGATTGTCTTTTGGAGTTCTTTTATTCCTATTAAGATATTACATTGTCTCCACTTTTTAATCTCATTTGTTATTGTCCAACAAAAATTTAGATTTCATATTATCACTTTTTCTTTTTTTTTTTTGTACTGTCCCAACAGAGAAAAACTCCAAAGGTAAATTTGGTTATATTTATTATGTTTGGACTCTGGAATTATTAGAATTATTTTGCAAGTATTTTTTGCCAGAATTGTCTTTGTTTTTATTATTATTTTTATTTATTTATTTATTTGCGGTACGCGGGCCTCTCACTGTTGTGGCCTCTCCCATTGCGGAGCACAGGCTCCGGACGCACAGGCTTAGTGGCCATGGCTTACGGACCCAGCCGCTCCGTGGCATGTGGGATCTTCCCAGACCGGGGCATGAACCCGTGTCCCCTGCATCAGCAGGCGGACTCTCAACCACTGCGCCACCAGGGAAGCCCGTCTTTGTTTTTATATATATTGAATACATTAAAAAAAATTTTTTATTGGAGTATAGTTGCTTTACAATGTTGTGTTAGTTTCTACTGTACAGCAAATACATATATACATATGTATATATACATATACAGCAAATATATATATATACATATATCCCCTCTTTTTTGGATTTCCTTCCCATTTAGATCACCACAGACACTGAGTAGAGTTCCTTGTGCTATACAGTAGTTTCTCATTAGTTATGTATTTTATACATAGTATCAGTAGTGTATATATGTCAATCCCAATCTCCCAATTCATCCCACCCGCCCCCTTTCCCCCTTGTATTCATGTTTGTTCTCTCTCTATGTCTGTGTCTTTCTGCTTTGTAAATAAGATCATCTATACCAATATTTTCAGATTCCATATATATGCCTTAATATACGATATTTAATTTAAAAATGGATGCAGTTTTGATGGGCTGAAGAGATATTAAAGTTGAATAATTAACAAATCATCTATAATTTGTTTTTGTTTTTTTTTTTTCTACACATAGAAAATTCTGAGCTGTGTAGCTCTAGGAAGTGAAATATTCATTCAGAAGAAGAGTGTAGACTCTTAAGAATACATTTGGCTCTTCACCATGCGGTTAGGAAAACCTAAGGGAGGTATATCTCGGAGCTCGAGCCAAGGAAAAGTCTATGAGAACCAGCGCAAAACAGGCCGGCAGCGGCAGAGATGGGGAATGACTGTTCGCTTTGAATCAAGCTTGAGTAGACTGAGAAGAAGCTTGGATGAGAAGCCTTATAAATGTGTCGAATGTGAAAAGAGTTTCAGTCAGAGCTCAACTCTTTTTCAACACCAGAAGATCCATACTGGAAAGAAATCCCATAAATGTGCTGATTGTGGAAAAAGTTTCTTTCAGAGTTCTAATCTCATTCAGCATCGACGGATCCATACTGGGGAAAAGCCCTACAAATGTGATGAGTGTGGAGAAAGGTTTAAACAGAGCTCAAATCTCATTCAGCACCAGAGAATTCATACTGGAGAAAAACCCTATCAGTGCGATGAATGTGGCCGATGTTTCAGCCAGAGTTCCCACCTCATTCAACATCAGAGAACCCACACAGGGGAGAAACCCTACCAGTGCAGTGAATGTGGCAAATGCTTCAGCCAGAGCTCTCATCTTAGGCAGCACATGAAGGTGCACAAAGAAGAGAAGCCTCGTAAAACCCGGGGCAAAAATATTAGGGCAAAAACTCACTTAGTATCATCTTGGAAAGCTGGTAAAGGAAGGAAGTCAGTGGCTGGTCTCCGCTAAGTAAAGGGCACTGCAACAGCCCTCTTTTAAAAATAAAAAGCATTTCTTTTAGAACTGGAGATATTTTTTAATAGTGCACTTAAATACTGTATCCTTTCCTAGCATGGAGACATTGGGAGTTTAATGACATTGGACTGAGAGAAATTACATTGAGTCCAGCCTTCCTTATTTTTTATGTAACTTGGAGTACAAAGAATTGAAAATGTGTTTTGAGAGAATATAAGCTTGATCTCATTCGAAATTGCTTCTTGCATCATTTTGACAAAACAGTCATGTTTTGATGACACGTGTAGAAGTGTAGTTCCAATGACTACTCAGTTTCAGGAATTTCTGTGGAAGGAATACTTAAAAGGGAGAAGAAATTAATTCCATTAGTTTTGGAGTTCTGTAGTAGATGAGATTTTATGTTTGTAAAGTTTTGTAGTGTATTAGCCATTGGTTTGTAAGTATGACTCAAGATTCAACATATTAAAATGAATTCATGTTCACAAATTTTTAATCAAGAAGGTGCATCACTCTATGTTAGCTTTCCTTTGTTTCTTTCCTGCTGCTTATGGATAATTAATTAAAGGAGTAGAATTTCCCTGTTTTTCACTAAATTCTTAGTAAGTGATACTCTAGAAGCCAAAGAGAGAACTGAATTAGACCGCAGGTCTCCTATTCCTGCTAATACTATCCTTTGTGATGGTGTTACGCCATGTCACTTGTTTTCCAGAAATTAGAATGGATTTATGTTAGTCCATCCCCATGGCTTTGACTTCTCTTGGCATTCTCTTGTGCTCTGGCAAACTGAACTAGCCGTTTAGATCTATGAATAATTAAACCAAAATTATTTTTCCAAAACCATCTCAACTTGCAAATTAAAAATCTACAATTTACTTGCCTCCCTGCCTTCCCCTTTGAGAGCTTCATATAACCCTGATTATCTTAAATGTTTGCCTGTAGCAAAGTGAGGTTTTTAAAAAGTCAAGTGTTGGTGCATTGTAGCTCCTTTGAAATCTAAGTTTAACTTTTTCTGAGTTATATGAATTATTTACAAAACCAAACAATTTCTTATCTTTCATCAGAACAATGCCGAGTACCAAACATTTTGATTAGCCTTCAACTTAGGTTTTAGTTTCTATTGAATGCTAACACTCTCCTGATTTTTTTTTGTATCTTTCAAATCATAACAGTTCCTGCTGTACTCATAATGACAGTTATCCATAAAAAAACTTTTTTAAATGGAGTATTTTGGATACTACTACCTTCTGTTTATTTTTCTCTTGGGAAATTGTTTTGATGTAGTAGGCAACATCTAAAATCACAGCCTTTGGAAGAATCACTTATTTTGTCTGTCTTTGATTGTCTCATACTTGAACTTTGCCTCCCTCGTGGCCTTGTATTTGAGTGCAGAGTCATAGAAGATGGCTTTGTTGACAGCATTTCATCCAGTAGGATATCCACAAAGTGTTTTGTGAGTACAGGCATGCCTTGGAGTACCACAATAAAGCAAATATCGTGAGGAAGTGAGTCACTTGAATTTTCTGATTTCCCAGTACATATAGAAGTTATGTTTATACTGTACTGTAGTCTATTAACTGCAATAGCATTATGTCTAAAAAACAATGTAATACCTTAATTAAAAATACTTTATTGCTAAAAAATGCTAACCATCGTCTGAGCCTTCAGTGAGTCATAGCAGTAACGTCAAAGATCACTGATCACAGGGCTTCCCTGGTGGCGCAGTGGTTGAGAGTCCGCCTGCCGATGCAGGGAACACGGGTTCATGCCCCGGTCTGGGAAGATCCCACATGCCGCGGAGTGGCTGGGCCCGTGAGCCATGGCCGCTGAGCCTGCGTGTCTGGAGCCTGTGCTCCGCAACGGGAGAGGCCGCAACAGTGAGAGGCCCGTGTACCAAAAAAAAAAAAAAGATCACTGATCACAGATCATGTAACAAATATAACAATAATGAAAATGTTTGAAATATTGCAAGAATTGCCAAAATATGACACAGAAAAATGAAGTGAACAAGTGCTGTTGGAAAAATGGCACCAATAGACTCGTTTGATGCAGGGTTGACACAACCTTCAATTTATTTAAAAAAAAAAAAGCAGTAAGGCAAAGCACAATAAAACAAGGTATACCTTATGACGTGATCACAGTTATCTTTTACAAAAGACATTGTTTAGATTTTACTGATCGACTTATGTCTTCAGAGGCAGAGAAGCTATTGAATCAAATCTGAAATTGTCAGTGGCAAAAGTATTACTCCCACAAATTTAAAGGTGAGTTCAATTTTATTTTGGCTTGAGTCAGTACTCCTGAGAGAAAGGGATACCTATAAAGGGCAAGAACCATCTAATAAGTTCCTAAGGAAAATGTAAGTATTTGTATGATTTTTTTTGGCAGGTAGTGGGAGTACCTCTTCAAAATAGAAATTCATAGCCACAAACAGTATTTATTCTCATGTTAGGGAAGTAAAGTGCTGTCATTCTGTTGAGAAAATAAATATCTGTTGAATACTGGCCATGCGTAAAAGACTGGTAGAAAAGGTAATTTTTTTTTAAGGTAATACTAAAAATACAGGTCATGAATATACAGTATGACTGCCATTCAAATTGGGAGAATTTACATCTGGTACAGGGAAGAAGGAAGGGATCTTGAAAGGGTTGACATTTACATTAGGTTAGGGAATAGAAACCCCAAAGTCTGTAGAGGCCAGGTAGCTAATGTAAATGAAATGAGAAGAGCTGAGTGCTGTAAACTGAAGTGCACATGCCCATCTAAAAGGATAACCCTGACTCAGTTTTAGCCAGTTAATGCCATGCAGAGATTCTGGCCCAGATATGCCAGGTCTTTTGATTTTTCAAGAGAAACAGATTTTAAAGTTCACAACACTTCTTAACCAGTTTGCCACACCTGAATTATGTTTTGAAGGCTCTGTGTGACTGTGTCTGTGTTGGAGGAGGGGGTGGCAGAGGGAGAGAGCCTGGTATGGTGAGAGGCAGAGGTACATGATGGAGCGGAAGCTGCATAGCACAGAAGAATCTGCTCAGAGAACAGCAGGTGGCTGCTTTATTGGCAGTCCAGTTTCATCTAAGAGTTGTGAGAGAGAAGGCTGGAATGGGCCTCCAGCAGAGCCTTAAATGTCAACATTAAGAGTGAAATGGTTTAATAAGATGGGATGCATGAAGGTTTTTGGAGCACAGGTTAGAAGGTAATGGATGATCCAATGAGAAAAAATAGCCAGCCAGAAGAAAAATCTCCCAGAAGAGACCCACTTGGCTTACTGGACCTACAAAGCTTCACTTCCTGCCTTGGGGCACAAGTCACCTTTCATTCCCTGTCCCACACTTAATGACATCAACTCCAAACTGCTCTGTACCTTTGCTTATTCTGCTTTGACTAGTATATATTTCTGAGAGTTAGGCCTCCAGAAAGTAGGCTTTGAACCTTCCTTAGATGTTCTTCCTTTAACTGAATTGTAACCATCTCACTAGACAGTGAACTCCTGGCTTATAGTAGTCATTCAATTGAAAGTTTTAATGAAGAAAGGCCAAGAAGGAAGTACAGAAAGCAGGTTAGAGAAAGAGCTAAGAATTTAGTTCTGGAAAGTTTTTAGGTTGGCTGTCAGCTTCCGTAGCAACCTAGCTAGAGTCCCACCTAGAACGTCACTTTCCCTGTCTGCCATCCCTCTCCCTCTTCTTCAGTCTTCTCTATTCTTTGGAAAGCCCTTGCTCATTGCATAATTCATTCTTCAGCCTTGCACATAGCACACACTTACATTTGTTGAATGAATTAAATAGGTAGTGAAAGGACAAATGTATAAAATACCATCAAACTCTAAGCAATCAGATTCTCATGGTCTGAAGGAACCTGGGAAGGCCACTTACCTCATCCTCCTCTAAATTGGATGATTATTTTGTGATGACCAGATTCTTCTATTGTGTTCTTTGAAGTATAAAATACACATAGAATCTATATGGTTTTAGAAAACTAATGTCATTTTCAACTTTTAAGTCACCCAAAACTCTGTGTTTTCCCCCTTAAAACCATATCTGGAACATTTTTAGCACTTGGCAGACTTTAAAACATACTTTTTTGTGACCAAGTTTTGTGACCAAGCAATTCCATATCCTCCAAAAGTCAGTGAAGTTTTTGGGAAGAGATGTGAAGTCGGTAATTTGGAGAGACTTTTCTATATGATTTGAAAGGTAGACACTTGGGTCACAGAGACCACTTGGTGTCCCTGAGAGTCAAGAGTACTCTTGTAATAGTCCAAGTTGAAAGAAATGTTTAAAGCAGGGCTATGGAGTAGGGAGTGCAGGGAGGAAAGAAGAGATACTGTGGTAACAGTGGACAGGCCTGGAGACACATCAGATTTGAGGTGCAAGCAAGAGAGGAAACAAGATGATGGAGGTTTCCAGCCTAGGTGACTAGGAGGTGTGAGGGAGAAGACGATTAATTTGCTTTAGGAAGTGCTGATCTTGAGATGCTTGGAATATCTGGGTGAAAAATATAACGGGAGATTGAATATCTGTGTCTGAAGTGTAGAAGATATTGAAGAAGGAACTCAATATTTGTGCCACTCTTTGCCAGATGCTTTATATACGTTAGATGTATACTAGTCTGCTTGGGCTGCCATAACAAGATATCTGACTTAGTGGCTTAAACAGCAGATGTTTATTTTCTCACAATTCTGGAGACCAGAAACCCATGTTCAAGGTTCCAGCAGAGATGGTTTCCAGTGAGGAATATCTTCCTACTTTCCAGACATCTGCCTTCTCACTTGGCCTTTCCTCACTCCATGCACAGGAGCAGAGAGAGAGATTTCATTCTCTAGTGTCTCTTAAAAGGATACCAGTCTAGTCCTATTAGATTAGGACCCCACCCTTCTGACCTTATTTAACCTGAATTCCATCCTTAAAGGCCCTATCTACCAGTACAGTCACACTGGGGGTTAGGGATTTCCCATATGACTTTGGGGAGGAAACAATTCAGACCCCAATAGATATTTCCTATTATAAACAGAGAATTCTAGTAATTTACTCAAGGTTAAACAGGACCAAAAGGTCCATGTCCTTTTGAATGCCCCTATTTAAAATCTTCTTACCACATCCTAGACCATGTGAGATGAATCCACTTTTATGGCTATCAGAAACAAAAGTAACAACCCCATCCTCTTTGACCTCAGAGAGAGAGGAGACATGAAGAATAGGGACAATAAGAATGAGTGTTGACTCTATACACAGCCTTCAGCTCTCCT